TAGCATAAAATCCGTAGCCGATGAATTAATCAATAAATTTATATCGAGATCACCTAGAATTACAATAACATCCGCAGATGGTAATAATATAGATAAGGTATTTTCTATACTGTCAAATGTTTGCCGAATATTGGAAGAAGGAGGTCGATACAATGCACCGAAGGTATACGTTTTGCCATCGAATCTGAAACTGATCCATTGCTCTTTCAAAAGGGGATCAATATTTGTACGGAGCAACTTGAATTTTATGTGTTCTTTTAGAAAGAAGCCGACACCTCCCACTCTACCGATTCTGTCGGCATGTATAAAATTGTAATTGGGAATACGGATAGCCGAAGATCCGATATCATCATTCAACCAAGTTTCGGTGATTGCAAATATATCGAAATTTTCAGAAATCACAAAATCCTGGAGGCGACAAAATCCTGACAAATGCGGTCTAACATTAAGATAACCAACTTTCATGTCTTACTTGTAAATTAATGTCTATTTGATAGTAAAGAAATAGTATAAAAAAATAAAAATAGTCAGTGCACACTACTCAATTATTCTAAGGAGTACGTATATATGTATCCTAAAAAAAAGGAAAAAAAATATATATACATATATGCATACACACAAATGTACACACATATATAGGGTGATTTGTTCCAAAACTAGAAATAAGAATGACAAGATGAAAGGTTTGGCGAATAGTTATATTTTAGAATATTGTGTGACTAAAGATGATGTAAATCAGTATATGAATTTATTTTAATTTCTTATTTCTACCAGAGGAAGACGAAGAAGATGCTGATCTCATTCTCGTAGCTTCTGATTTTTCAACGGCTTGTTGATTCAAGTCATGCTTGGCTTTCTTAGCTGGCGGTTTCACAGGAGAACAGCTATCACGTGCTATATCAGAGTTAAGGGCTGATGATTGCCCTGTTATTGTTTGTTGAGGAGATACGTGAATACTAGCAACTTCCGATACTGGTATAGTTGGTTAACTTGAACTTTGTCGTTCATCTGAGCTTCGAAGTCCTCGTCGGTAGATTCTACCAATCCGCTGCTTCTTTCTAAATATTCAGCAGTATACGAGTCTCCACTTATCACTAGTTTGTTTCCTATAATTCTGGCAGAGTAGTTTTTTTGTTTAGCTAGTTTACGCTGTTTTTGCAGGATTCTGTTGGTCTCGCGGTCCTCAAGACATAAGTCGTTAACAATGAGTACTTTAGTATTACGGAGCCTATGCACATTTTTGAAAATGAGTTGCTTTTTCATATGTGAAATTAGTTCAATTTTCACTGGCGGATTCTCTCCAGACTTAATTGGGTAAATATTGTTTAAATCGTCTAGTGTTAACTTGATGGACAGCAATTGGTTTAGTTTATTAAGAACTATCTCCCCATGATTTTGTGCTGAGGAATCTATATCCAGACCAAAAACTAGCACATTGTTTTTGCGTACCACTCTCTCCAGCTGCAGGTTACCCTTCTCTAGCCTCTTATTAATTATTTGCTTCCGTTTTTACTAGTTCAACCAATTTTGAAAAGAGTGCCGTATTGGTTAATTCAACTCCGCCACTGGTCATTCCGCATTCTAGCAGATATTTGGCCGATATGCGATAATGAACCTTACGCTGTCGATTTTATACCGACGTAAAAAGTGGAATTTCAATATTTGATGTGTATAAGCCAACTTTGAACAGTAACATTTTCAAGAAGTACTCACTGCCAGTTCAGATTTGGTTTCGCTGAATTTTACAGTAATCACTGCACTGATGACGGCACTAAAACATAAATTTACGGAGAGGATATATCGATATGTCTTTTCGTTTCACGTTTATTACCAGTACCGCACAAATGCTTCAAAAACATCGGAAATTTGGGTGCGATTGAGATTTTTCCCGGACATCCCAGAATTGTTTATATGACAAAAATAGAATAGAATACTGCTTTATTCGTGTGAGCCTGTGGACTGGATACAAAACGTTATAAAAAATTCAAAACGTGAACAAGTAATAGATAACACGGAAAATTTGGGATACAAAAACACAGTCATATAAGGTTAAGATGATACTCGGACAAAATTAATTTGTACTATAAAATGTCTTATTTAGCAAAAGGTTCCTAAGTTCACTTTTACAACAAAGATAAGCTGGCAGCCTGCATAATTTTGCGTAATAAAGTACAAGGATTTATTCCAAAATGACCCAAAAGCTCAACTTGAGCGGCTTCATCCAAAACTCTACGCTGATAATGTTTTTTATTTGCAACAGATCCAGTTTGAGTAAATTTAATTACAAGGTCCAAAACATACCTATGCGAAGTAATCTTGTGTGGCGTTAAACGTGACCGCAGTTTGCCGAGCACATTGATTTTGGGCACCATAAATTAGAATCATTTCCACTCTTTCGGCTAGTGTGTAAACCATTCTGGAAGTAAAATCTGAATCAATAAATTATTTTTCACTATTCCAAGATTGTCAGGAAGGTAACTGACGTGAAACTAAATTCTTTCTTTCCATTAGCAACAAATAACTAAACAGGTATAACAATAAATACAGTTCATCCAGTATATCTGTGTTGATGAAAAGATCGCGGAAAAAATTCGGGTTGATATTTGGTTGTTGCCACGTCTGATCTGAATGTTATATTTGTGATAAGTAATATTCCAGACAAGAAATCTACCGGGCCCTGATGAAATTCCAATCTATTTAATAAAACAGAACATGGATATCTTTGCCCGAGTATTAGCAGACATCATTAATGAATCGGTTGCTGCTGGTAAATTTCCAACATCTCTTAAACTGGCATCGTTAATTATGATATTTAAAAAAGGTGAAAATTGTGATGTTGAAAACATAGGCCAATCGCGCTATTAAGTATTTTCTCGAAAATCATTGAAAATCAATGAAAATCGAAAATTACTTTCTTAAATTTGCTATTATCACATATGCTCAACGTGGTTTCAGGGCAGGCTACTCAACTGAAACAAGCATTATCGAGTATGTTTAGTATGTTTGTGATAAACTTGATTTAGGTAATTACGTAGTGAGTATCCAATTTGCCTTGTCTCAGGCCTTTGATTGTGTAAGTTCGTCATTTGTGGCCGATAAACTTCATGTTGGCATTTGCGGATGTTTGAATCAATGGATAGTTAGCTTTTTAGAGAATAGAAAATTTTATGTTACTGTCGCTGATAAAAAATCTTAAGAATTCATTTAGATTGGGGCACACCTCAAGGCAGCGTCATTGGACCACTTATTTTCTCGATTTTCATAAATGATTTGCCTGCAGACTTATCCTACGGAAAATTACTTTTGTATGCAGACGACACAAATACCATTTTAGCTGACTCATCGCAAGATCGTCTTCAAGAAAAAAATAATGATTCGGTTAATGAGTTCAGTCAATGGTGCTTCAAAAACAGACTAATAATAAATATAAAAAAGACCGTTTCACTTGAATATTTTATGAAACCAAAAATTCCGTCAAATTTTAATTTCAGTCTTCAATGCAAGACAGTTGTAACTTCCAAAAAAGTGTAAGCTTTGATTACAATTTGAGATGGACAGAGCAAATTGATTCCGTATGTAAGAAACTTGGAAAAAGTCTGTATTTAATGCTTACGCTAGGGAGTATGTTAAACACCTCGGCATTAATGGATGTCTACTATGCATGTGTACACTCTGTCATTTCATATGGCATTACTGCGTGGGGCCAGGCTAGTGAAATCTCTAGAGTGTTTGTCTTACAAAAAAGACTCATTCGTATTATATTTAAAATACGGTCCAGATGTTCCTGTCGTGAGATATTTGTTAAACACAAAATACTGACAGTAGCATGTATATATCTTTATAATCTTTTAACATATATTTTTCAGCTCAGAAATGATTATCTTAAGCATACTGACATCCATGACTACAGCACTCGTAATAAAATAATATAGTTAGGCATGTGTCATATCATACGTTTCATTCAAAATCTCCCATAACAGCAGGAATATACTTTTTTAATTTATTACCTCCGGAGATCAAAAACGTAAACTCCGTAGGGCTTTTCAAAAGACGTTTGCGGAACAAGCTATCGGACTGCGGTTTTTATGACCTAGGTGAGTTTGTCACATTCCACAGTGCTTCTGATAGATCTTAACAAATAATTTATTGCCATGTGTGTATCATATTATTGTTATTTGTATTTTACTTCCTTTTATCTGTATTTTAATCTGTATACACCGACTTATCCAATATCTACAATGTAGATCTAACTGGATCAATAAATGAATCTGAATCTGAATCTGAATCTGAATTGCTGGTAGTTTCCGTTATAAATTATAAACGAATTGTAGATTTGGCAAACCCTGACGGGCAACATTTTGCACGCTTATTGAAATAAAAAGTTATATTTTCGTGTGTTTATGTTTTCTATATGAACAAGTTAAGATAAACAAACATTTTTCTAATTTTTTCGAAAGCAAATCGGCTGATTCAAAAAAATAAACGTCTAAATAACGGAGTGCGAAAGTCGTATCGAACAAGATATTACTCGAGACACATTGTCATTTAAAATTTTGAAAAGAATGACCCTGGTGCCGAGGGTGACAGGGGGTGATGCAGTTTTTGGTTATAAGGTGTCCCCCTTCTCCATTCTGAAAATTTTTGTAAAATTATGTTTGCCTTATTTTCCAGTTGTTCGGATAAACATACGCTAAATACTTTGTCACACCTTGTAGAACCACGTGATCATTTTAAAATATAGGTGCAACGGATAAAATAGAAACGTTTCCAAATTAGCTTCTCTTTATGTCGGATATTACCCGTTCCATATTTATTGTCATGAAACGTGGAATTAGTTTAATGTGTAGCACAGTGTACTGATTGATGCCTACGTTTATTAATTTATGATGCTTTGTAGAAATCAACTAACATTGACGCTTCATTTTGCCGGTGCAAACTGAGTGTACAAATGGCTGCCTTCGAGTCCCACACTGATTATGACTTTTTCATAATTCTTCCAGATACGATGACCGATACAACAGTCGGCGAGATCCCTATGACGCTTATAGAACAACCAGCTACCTCCATGACAGGCCCTCAACAACTACTACGAAACCGTCTGAAGACAGCGATAGAAGCAAGTCATCGTCGTCCGACAACAGTAGCAACAATTCTGGATGAACAGTTGTGTAGAAAGAGTGCACCTGGGACTCCTGAACTAAACTACAGTGTTTGAAAAGATGGGTCTCTGAATTTGGCTGTAGGCCCCGCTAAATCGTCATTTCCATTTACGTTTAGTTATTTTTAAATTTTCATATGTTTGGAGTATTTGAAAAAAAAATCCGACTGTTAGGTCTTTCTTAAAATCGATTCCTTGATTGTTTTTAATACACATGAAAGCATTTGGAATCACGTCTGCAACCAAATTCAGTCTATAGAACCGTCTTCATTTTTTAAGTTTGGTTGTTGACATGAGTACTAGAATATCGTATTTTGTAATGAGGGATTTGGTAGCCAATCGTACTATATCTTGCTCCGCCACTGAGGTAGAGCTAGCAAAGAGGTATGTTTGTGCATGAATGCACATTTCAACTTAGACGGACTTCAACAGCGGACCGCTACCGAAGGCACTGATCGCTTCTATATATATGTAGACCCTGAAGACTGGATGCACGAGGGTATACTGCCAAAGAGAAAACCCGCATATCTATGGAGCCAATCCTGGCAGTAAGGAGGGCGATACCCATGGGCTCACCCTCACTCTATGAGTTTACTCTCCTGTTTTCAGTATTCGTGATGCGGCAGCGATATGTGATTTTGCTCCCGCTAGGCGATGCTTGCGTGGTTGGTGGTCAAAGCTGTCAAACATAGATGAGAAAAGATATGTTTGACATGTATGTTTGTTCATAACCGTAGATGTGACCGATACGACACCCAGCAATTAGCGCCATCTGCTTCTAGCTTTTCAGATTATCCCCGTTTGAAAGCTTACTCGTCGTTCCCCGCTCTCATCTTTAAACAAAAGAAGCATCATTGCCATTAACTATTACTACTAAATACTCATGGCACCTTTTTTTAGCAAAGCGTATAAAATATAGGCATTACATCGTTTTATCCAAACACATAATCTCATTTTTATTCTTATTTGTTGATAACAACATAGTTGCATATATTGTAGTTAGCTACTATTTGTGTTGACCCAGCTTCTTTGCGACTACTTTTGCTTGCTTTTCACCTCAAAATAATATACCAAATAGAGCCTTTTCATATTCTGTTAGAATTATCTGCGGATATTCATTGGGATTCAACACTTTGTAGAAATAGTCTTACATTGTAGTGGAGTCTTCGCTTAGATATTATTACGAGCATCTCTCGTTTTTGATTTAGTGTTAATTTATTGCATTACCTTTAAATTGAGTTTAGCTTTATATATAAATACTATACATTTTTTTTTACTGCCAATTGAATGTCGTTTGAAAATAAAGTACCTTCAAGAAGTTGAATACCTATCTGAATTTTCGTTTTATTTCATATAGTCCAATCATATTAGCAAATTTCCCCGAAATAATTTTAAAGTCTGGTTTCATCGGTGCAAGTTGTTCAAGGAGTTTTTAAAACATGGACGCATAAAATGGGTACACCAATTTCTGTAAGAAAACTTTTTATTCGACATCAAAGAATGAGAAAACGTGTTTTTCTAGATTCAATCAAAAGTGTTGACATGAACGAATCGACTTTTCATATAAGATTTTTAGGTATCTATGAGATCTACGAAATGAGATCACAAGTGAAAAGATCCGACTAATAGCAAAAATGTTATGGCCGAAAAACGAGGCAAAATGCAGGTTTTGACACTTGTTGGTAATACGACGATAGTTTCAGGCAACTACTTGAAATTCTTTAAATCCTTAGGATTCATACAGTAACAACAACAAAATTGGATTATATTGGCCAAGTAGTTTTTTGAGAATTTATATTTGTCTATCTCAAACACCTGTCTTCCAGCCATCAATACTGGTTTATTGAGCTACATAAAGAGTTCGTCCAAAGAGCATTTAATAGCAAAATACATGTGTTTACCTTGCCGATATGAATTACAAACCAATTCGGAAGATAAATGTTATTTTTATGCGAAAAACAAAGGTAACGTTTTTCGCTCTGAACAATTCAAACATTTCGTATTTCTGAGTCATTGAACAAATGCGCTACGATATTCGAAAAACATACATTATAAAACGAAGCGGATGTGTCGATAGTCATTTGCTGCGAATTACTCACAAATACGAAATGTTTGAGTTTGTTAGAAGAAAAAAACGTAACCCATCCTTTTTTGCATAAAAATAACATCTATCTTCCCGAGTGGTTTGCGATTCATATGGGCAAGGTAAACTAATCTATCATGCTATGAAATGTTCTTTGAACTAACCATGTATATTGCTCAATAAACTAGTAGTGATGGCCGGAAAATAGGTGTTTTGGGATTAACAATTAGAAATTCTTAAAAACTACTCGACCAATCTGCTCCAAACTGGCAAATTGACGGTGGTCCCTCATGTTCATGTAACCCATTTCCAACATTTTTGTACCACTGTAAAAAAATAAGTTTTATACAAAAGTTATGGAGCCTAATGTGGAACACCCTATATATATAGTGAAAACCTAGGGGCTTTTTACCTAGTCAAAACATTATTTTTTATGTTATTTGATCACGTGTATCTGTACTTTATACTAGATTGCATGTTAGGCGGCTAGATGTAGATTCCAGTGAGCATGAATAAATGTCAGTCAGTCAAGTTCTTGACTAAACTAATAAAAATATCTACAGCACAACACAAAAAGTTAGGAGGGGCCTATTTGTGGCGGAACATTTTGTACAATACTTACCTTACCTGCTAGAGTCGATATCAAAATGGCGGACAATCAAGCGGTCTTTGAAGGGTTCTTCTGAAAAAAGTTCTAATGCAAAGCTCCCGACTTCAAGCATTTATTTTAAGCAGATAACCAGACGATTACACAACTTTTCCGAATTTGGGGATTTCTTCATTAATCCGTCTGTTCACATTGCTGTATAAAATCAAATAATGTTGTTTAAAAGAGCACCCAAACATCAAGTTATCCGACAAATGTTATGTCCGCAACAATACGCTACAATCAATACAAAGCACAAGCATATACACTCGTACATTATCAAGAAGCCAGCTTGAAAACAGACTACAAACTTGGCGAACGTCCTTGATACCAAACAATAGGGATCCGCTCCAAACTTAGAGGCAATTATCTTGCATTCGATCGGATTTCAGCCGTATACACAGTGTCGTAATCTTTGGATGCCGTTGCCGTCGACCAAATCCTCGAATTGCACTGATTGTGTCTTCTAGTAATAATGTATTGTGCAACTCAGCTCGGTAAGAGCCCCACACACGTCAATTGTTGTTATTTCAGAATGTGAGATGTACCTAGAAAAATTATGGAAGAATTCGCGGTATAGTTGCTGCATTCAATTCGACATTTTGTTGTCGATTGAATAAAAAATGGAAAGGTTTACTTTGTGATGTAATTAAATTGTAATGATATGTGACATTGACTTTCCATGTTCATACATTATTACGAAGGTCGTTTTAGAGTAAGGACCTATTTTGCGTGTCCACACCACCTGCAATACAATCGTCCCGCCGTGCTTTTCTTAACGGAGACAAAAATCTCAGAGTCTGCACCGCTTAACCATCTTAACTTCCCAAACTACGAGGTGCACTCCAATCTGAGAAACAACGGGGGGAGTTGTGGCTTGTGTCCGCAGCAGTATTTCCTGCTCCAGAGATGTTTCTTTGGAATCGGGCCGTGAGGATATTCTGTGGCTTCGCCTCAACTCCAAAACATCAGCCAAATTTATTTGCTGCCTTTATCGCTCTCCCTTGGACCATAACTGGGACGACCTACTCGAATACCTCGCCGTCCAGATCGACTTCCTTCACCATCAATCATCCCGCTTCAGAGGTAGTTCGTCTCGGTGACTTCGATGCCCATAATGAGGTTTGGTTGGGCTCAAACAAGACCGATGCAACAGGTCGTGCAGTCGAAGCGTTCGCTCTTACTCAAGGGTTGACCCAGCTGGTGACGAGGATTACTTTTTTCCCCACGTCTCGTCACACGCCAGTAGCCTGCTGGATCTCTTTCTGACCACGCATCCTGTCCCTCACGGCACTGCTGTACGCCCCCCCCCCCCACCGAAATTATCCACGTCGGAATGGAGGAATACATCCCTCACACAGTGAAAGTGCCTAAACCAGGGTCCAACGACTGGTGTAACAATCGTGTGACACTGCTCGCCAGCAGAAGTTCAAGGTACACAGAACCTTCTTACAAAACCCCACTGTAGAGAACACACAAGCCGACTTCGAGTCCAGAAACAAATATAACGAAGCAGTTCGCAATGCCAAAAATCAGCACAATATAAGAATTAGGCACAGGGTAATGTCACAGTCCAATGGCAGTCGGTCTTTCTGGACGCTAGCCAAGCAGATTGAAAAGAAATTGTCACACAGTAGTCTTCCACGACTTAGGTGTCAGGAAGGAAGTATTGAATTCGACTCAAAGGCCAAGAAGGAAGTGCTAGCCAAGATCTTTGCTGCTAACTCCGCCATGGACGTCCCTCCCAACGCCCAAGTGCCGTCAATTCAAAGGTTTCTCTACACTGTGCGGGAGGTAACATTCAGGCATAAGAACGTGAGACAAGTGCTGTTGTCGCTCGACATCAACAAAGCTTCTGGACTGGACTTGACTCCTGCCATTGTACTGAAGAGGTGTGCAGCGGAGCTTGCTCCAGTTCTTCCACGTCTCTTCCAGATATCTTATGAATCCAGCAGCCCAAAAAAGGGATCTAAGACTGACCCTTACAACTACAGGCCTATAGCTCTGGTTTCTGTTAAAAGTAAGGTGACGGAGAGGTGCATAAATCGCGGGCTGCTGGACTACCTCGAACGTCACAGCTTGATTAGCGACAGGCAGTATGGTTTCCGGCACCAACAATCCACAGGGGACCTCCTAGCTTACGTCACGCAATTGTGGAGTAAACTCTTCCAGTCTTATGGGGAGGCTCATGTTGTTGCTCTTGACATCACGCAAGCGTTCGATCAACTGTGGCACGCTGCCCTCTTAAGCAAGCTTCCATCCTATGGCCTCCCAGAAAAGCTTTGCAGATGAGTGGCTGACTTTATCTCTGGCCGCAAGATATCCGTCGTAATTGACGGGTTCTCCGCTACATCCCACAACGTTAACGCAGGTGTTCCCCAGCGATCGGTCTTGGCTCCGACACTGTTTCGCTTACATTAACGACCTCATTGCCTACATGATCAACCCAATACACAGCTTCGCTGATGACAGCACTCTACATGCAGGAATTCTGAGGGACAAGCCGATCTCTGCCGCTGAGTTGGAAAAAAGAAGACTAGCAACGACTTCCTCTCTGATAAGAGACCTGGCGGCTATCACTGCTTGGGGACGCAACAATCTTGTACAGTTCAATGCTTCCAAAACAGAGTACTGTACTTTATCGAACAAAAAGCGTCCCACCGCTCATCCAGTTTCGATGGATGGTCGAGTTCTGCCAAAGAGACATTCATTTTGGCTGGTCGGAGTCCAGATCACCGAGGACCTGATCTGGCACGAACACATTTCGTCAATGGCTGCAGCTGCTGGGACAAAGCTAGGCTACTTGTTTAGGGCAAAGTACTTTTCTCCGCATGACCTTCTTACTCTATACAAGGCCCAGATAAGGCCTAGCCTCGAATATTGCTCACAGGTTTGGGGTGCTGCCACCCCGACTACATTATCCATGCTCGATGCTGTCCAGAGGAGTTTTTCGAACCGGCGGGCCGTAGGCGATCCAGCTCTTTTCTACAGCTACACCAACGGGCTTTGCTCCTCAGCGCTCTCTCTAACCGTGTCGAACTTCGTACATCCAGAACTGGCCGATACGACCGCTCCTTTGTCCCGAGGGTGTCAAGATTGTGGAAAAATCTACAACAGGAAGCTTTTCCCAGTTCTACTAACCTTAGGCAGTTCAAAAATCGTATTAACAAAATTTCTTTGGGATCATCATAGCAGCCGCGGTGTTCCGGCGTTTGGGCTTCTGCCTGCGCGGCTGCTTCGATATAAAAAAAAAATTAAAAATTCAAACCGCCGGCGAGGACCACTCTCTAGCTGCGTCATTCCCCTTCACGGCAACGCTCGGCCTCACTTCGTGGCAAGGAACACAGACGCAGCTTCGTGGGGAATTATTGGACCATCCACCATACAGCAGCACCAGATTTTCATCTTTTTAAAAGTGTTAAGACATTTTTTGGTGGAAAGTGCTTGGAAAATGATGACATTTAGAAATAAACAATTACTATA